ACCCTTAAACTGTCCAAACGTAGATCTACATCCACGTGTGGGGGTCTCCGAACGTAGATCTACTTTTTTTTTACATGCTTACAAATGGGGAAAACAAGGTTGGAGACGTTTGGACAGTTTAAGGGTTAAAAGAGGGGTTTGGGATACGTATATGTTTCTAAACTGTTGTGTTCTGGGCACCTCTACAAAAAGCAGTGATTATGTATGAGTGAGGTGAAAGTGTTGAATGATGATGAAAATATTTTTTGGAGGGGGGGGGATTTTCTTTCTTTTAGCACCACCCTGTCTCGGTGGGAGATGGCCAACTTGTTTAAAAAAAAAAAAAAATATATGCTTCAATATAAACATTTGATCTACACATCCCCTACCCACTCTAAAGCCTCCTTGCTCATCCGCAATCCTACTTTCTGTCTTACCTCTAATTCTTTCAATAATAACCCTACCGTACACTTTTCCTGATTTTTTTTTTTTTTTTTTTCAACAAGTCGGCCGTCTCCCACCGAGGCAGGGTGACCCAAAAAAGAAAGAAAATCCCCAAAAAGAAAATACTTTCATCATCATTCAACACTTTCACCACACTCACACATTATCACTGCTTTTGCAGAGGTGCTCAGAATACAACAGTTTAGAAGCATATACGTATAAAGATACACAACATATCCCTCCAAACTGCCAATATCCCAAACCCCTCCTTTAAAGTGCAGGCATTGTACTTCCCAGGGAAACTGGTTATTTTTTATATAGCTGGACTTGAGTTCTGGAAATGGGAAGTACAATGGCTACACTTTAAAGAAGGGATTTGGGATATTGGCAGTTTGGAGGGATGTGTAATAGGACGGTATATATATAATTTGGGCCCTGATATTATATTCTACAGGGAGTTTATTATATTTCAGGTCACTTTATATTGTATCTTTATATATAGTTGGTGTCCCACAGGGAGGTGTCCTTGGCCCTCTTCTCTTTCTCGTTTACATAAATGACCTACCAAATGCATCACAACTACTCAAACCCACACTATTTGCAGATGACACTACATACGTCTTCTCTCACCCGAGCCCAGTCATGCTAGCCAATACTGTGAATACCGAATTACAGAAAATATCTACCTGGATGAGGACTAACAAACTTACTCTCAACATTGACAAAACCTACTTCATTCAGTTTGGTAACAGAGCTACAAATGTCCCTCTTAACATAATGATAAACGGATCACCTGTCACAAAGCTCACAGAGGGAAAATTCTTAGGAATCCACCTTGATAATAGAATCAAATTTCAAACACATATGCAACAAATTTCCAAGAAAATTTCCAAGACCATAGGCATACTATCGAAGATACGGTACTATGTTCCACAGTCAGCCCTCCTGACCCTATATCACTCACTTATTTACCCCTATCTCACCTATGGAATTTGTGCATGGGGCTCAACAACAATAAACCATCTCAGACCATTAATTACCCAACAAAAGGCTGCAGTCAGAATGATAACAAATTCCCACTACAGGCAGCACACTCCACCAATATTCAAAATTCTAAACCTACTCACAATACAAAACATCCATACTTATTATTGTACCTACTACATACATAGAACACTTAATTCGGATATAAACCCTCCCCTCAAACGTCTCCTTACCAACCTCGACAGAACACATGACCGTAACACAAGGCACAGATCACTCTTCGATATTCCTCGTGTCCATCTCACACTATGCAAAAACTCAATGCACGTAAAAGGCCCGAAAATCTGGAATTCACTACCTGTGAATATAAAAGAAACACTGTCTGTTTATAAATTCAAGTCTCTTCTTAAAAATCACTTACTCACCCACAACCAAATAAATACTGAATAATTGTATCTCATAAATGTTTAACCTGTGACCCAATCAAACTTTGTTATTTTTAATTACATCATCTAACAGAATACTCCATTCTACTGAATTCACAGCAAGACAGTAAATGACCATATGACCTGTCTTTGAAATACTCATTTGTGCTTAATTGTTATCTGTTTACAACAATGTTTACCACTGAATATATCATTGCTTAGTTAATCTTAAGTTAATTTTAAGCCTGCCCATAATGCTCTGCATACAAGGGGCTTTGGCATGTTACACTTAACCACTGTATTTCCTTGTATTTCTATGTATCATATTCAAATTAATAAATAAAAAATAAAATAAAAATGCTTCTAAACTGTTGTATCTGGGCATCTCTGCCAAAACAGTGATTATGTATGAGTGAGGTGAAAGTGTTGAATGATGAAAGAATTTTCGTTTTGGGGATTTTCTTTCTTTTTGGGTCACCCTTCCTAGGTGGGAGATCGCTGACATTACACATCCTGTCTAAGACCTACTTTTACCGGGAAGCAGTCTCCCTCTCTTCTACACACCGTAACCTGAGCCTCACTATCCTCATAAAAGCTCTTTACAGCATTTAGTAACTTAATACCTATTCCATATACTTGCAAGATCTGCCACATTGCTCCCCTATCCACTCTATCATATACCTTTTTTAAATCCATAAATGCAATGAAAACTTCCCTACGTGTATCTAAATACTGTTCACATATATGCTTCAGTGTAAACACTTGATTAACACATCCCCTACCCACTCTAAAGCTTCCTTTCTCATCTGCAATCCTACTCTGTGTCTTACCTCTAATTCTTTCAATAATAACCCTTCAGTACACTTTTCCTGGTGTACTCAGTAAACTTATTTCCCTATAATTTTTACAATCTCTTTTGTTCCCCTTCCTCTTATATAAAGGAACTATACATGCTCTCTGCCAATCCATAGGTACCTTCCCCTCTTTCCTACATTTATTAAGCAAAAATACCAACCACTCCAACACTAAACTTCCCCCCTGCTTTTAACATTTTTGTCATAATCCCATCAGTTCCAGCTGCTTTACCCCCTTTCATTCTATGTAATGCCTCACGCACCTCCCCGACACTCACATCCTGCTCCTAAAAGATGTTATACCTCCCTGGCCAGTGCATGAAATTACCGTCTCCCTTTCTTCATCGACATTTAACCCTTAAACTGTCCAAGCGTAGATCTGCGTTCGCTTGCATAGCGCTCCAAACGTAGATCTATGTTTTTTTTTACATGCTTTCTTATGGAGAAAATCAAGGTCGAAGCGCTCGCGTGCAAAGGTAGATCTGTATTTGGACAGTTTAAGGGTTAAAAGTTCCTCAAAATATTCCCGCCATCTACCCAATACCTCCAGCTCCCCATCTACTAACTCCCCTATTGTGTTTTTAGCTAACAAATCCATTTGTTCCCTAGGCTTTCTTAACTTGTTTATCTCACTCCAAAATTTTTTCTTATTTTTATCAAATTTTCTTGACAGTGCCTCTCCCACTCTATCATCTGCTCTCCTTTTGCACTTTCTCACCACTCTCTTCACCTTTCTTCTACTTTCCATGTACTCTGCTCTTCTTACAACACTTCTGCTTTGTAAAAACCTCTCATAAGCTACCTTTTTCTCTTTTATCACAACCTTTACTTCATGATTCCACCAATCACTCCTCTTTCCTCCTGCACCCACCCTCCTATAGCCACAAACTTCTGCCCCACATTCTAATACTGCATTTTTAAAACTGTTCCAACCCTCTTCAACCCCTCCCCCATCCTCCCCACTAATCATACTTGTACTAGCCCACCTTTCTGCCAATAGTTGCTTATATCTCACCCTAACTTTCTCCTCCCTTAGTTTATACACTATCACCTCTCTCTTACTTGCTGTTGCCATTTACCTTTTGTCCCATCTACCTCTTACTCTAACTGTATCTACAACTAAATAATGATCCGATATAGTATCAGTTGCCCCTCTATAAACATGTACATCCTGAAGCCTATCCATCAACCTTTTATCCACCAATACATAATCTAAGAAACTACATTCATTACATGCTATATCATACCTTGTATACTTATTTATCCTCCTTTTCATAAAATATGTATTACTTATTACCAAACCTCTTTCTACACATAGCTCAATTAAAGGCTCCCCATTTTCATTTACCCCTGGCACCCCAAATTTCTCTACTACTCCCTCCACAACATTTTTACCCACTTTAGCATTGAAATCCGCAACCACGAGTACCCTCACACTTGGTTCAAAACTCCCCACGCATTCACTCAACATTTCCCAAAATCTCTCTGTCTCCTCTACACTTCTCTCTTCTCCAGGTGCTTAAATGCTGACTATAACCTACTTTTCACATCCAACCCTTATCTTACTCCACATAATTCTTGAATTAAAACATTTATATTCCCTCTTTCCTGCCATAACTTATCCTTCAACATTATTGCTACTCCTTCTTTAACTCTAACTCTGTTTGAAACCCCTGACCTAATCCCATTTATTTCTCCCCACTGAAACTCTCCCACCCCCTTCAGCTTTGTTGCACTTAAACCCAGGACCTCCAGCTTCTTCTCATTCATAACATCCACGCACATTCAAGCATCCCACTTTGACAGTTTTCTTCTTTTTCTTTTTCATAGGCTATTCGGGAAAAGGGGTTACTAGCCCATTGTTCCCGGCATTTTACTTGACTTTTACAACACTCATGGCTTACTAATGAAAGATTCTTATTCCACTTCCCCATGGATTTAAAAGGAAAAGCAATAAGAACAAGAAGTATTAAGATAAAATCAAAGAAAGCTCAGATGAATGTGCATGTGTACATGTATGTTTAGTGTGACCTAAGTGTAAGTAGAAGTAGCAAGACGTACTTGAAATCTTGCATGTTTATGAGACAGAAAAAAGACACCAGCAAACCTACCATCATGTAAAACAATTACAGGCTTTCATTGTACACTCACTTGGCAGGACGGTAGTATCTCCCTGGGTGGTTGCTGTCTACCAACCTACTACAGTGTAATAAAAACCAAATAAATATCAGTAAGTAAAAATAAAATTAAATAAATAATAAATAAAATAAATATCAAATAAAATCATTGTTTTAATAGTATTTTTCATGGCTAGGTACGTGATGCCTTCAGTGCGGATGATTATAGCCACTACTTGTTCACCCCGCGTGACCTGACGCGCTGGGTTCTGGGGCTCTTACGTTATCAGGTTTCCTCAGACGATGCTGCTCTTCAACCATTATTGGAGGTTAGTAGAATAGAATTTGTTATATTCAGCCATGCCTGATTGGCATGAATTGTTTTATTTTATTACTGTGGAAATTTTTTTGCAATAGTATTAACTATTATGCCATGTAAGTAATAGTAAGTAAGTAAGTTTATTCAGGTATACACAATACAGTTACATAGAATTATCATACATAGCAGCATATGTGTAGAGAACCTAGGATAACCCAAAAAAGTCAGACAGAGTGACTTATTTCCATTGGGGTCCTTTTCCTTATTTTTATAATAAAAAGGGTTATAATATTTTCTTTTATTCTATAATGAAGATAACATCTTATTATCATACTAAAAAGACTATCTACTACACGAGGGTCATTAAGACTATCTACAATACAAAGGGTCATTAAGACTATCTACTACCCGAGGGTCATTACGACTATCTACAATGCGAGGGTCATTACTAGGGATAAGGTAAAATTTACACGTATTTTAGCTAAAAAATAGAAAATCATTCCCCTCCCTTTCTGTTGCTTCATTCATCAGACACTTTTTGGCAGTCTTCTTGAACTGGTTCAAGCTATGACTGGCCTTGACATTTGTGGGTAGTCTGTTCCATTCCTTTTTTGCTGTACAATAAAAGGTGTTTGAAGCCTGGCCACTGACTGTGGGTACTACAAAGTTGTGCTCTCTCCCCCTAGTACTATGATTGCTTTGGTTCCCAACCTTGACAAAATTGACAGCAAGATATTCTGGACACTGTTCGTGAGCAATTTTATAAACATGATTTAGCTTCAGTTGTTTTACTCTGTCTTCAACATTCAGCATATCCAACTGCTGTAATTCATCCTGTACATAAGCTTATTTAAAGTTTGCTTATCCTAAAATATGTAAAGTATGTTTAACATGACGTAATATTTTATATTAGGTATTACAAAGTACAGTATACAGTATGGCATGGTCACTTATGACTTGCCTTAACCCTTTCAGGGTCCGTCCTGTAGATCTACGACTTTACGTTCAGGGTCCAAACCGTAGATCTACACTATGAGCTCAGCTCTCTCTGATAAACTGTGAGTGGTACATTTGGGCCTAGATATGAGAGAATACATCTATGTGGTATGTGTGCACCACATAAAACAAATCCTGCAGCACACTGTGTATAATGAGAGAAAAAAAACTGAGACCATGATTTTCGATTAAAACGGCGACTTTGCAGTGTTTTTTCGTATGGTTTGTATAGTTGTATTTGTGATTTCTTGGTCTCATTCGATAAAATGGAAGACATATTACAGAAATAGAGATGATTTTGATTGGTTTTAGCACTGGAAATGGCTTGAAACTGAGCTCAAAGTAGCGGAAATGTTAAATTTTTGCTGATGTTCAAGAGTAAACAAACGACTTCACACGTCTAATACACGCCAGCTGGTGGATCTAATATACATTCACAAATGTGGTGATGATATTTATATAATTATTACAATATTGCATAACAGTAAATCTTCTATTTTTTGGTGCGAATAAAAATTCATTATGTGAATAAAAAATCAAAATGGAATTTATTTGTAAAGCCTCAAAACATAACTAATGAACAGAGGAAATGTTAGTTTAGTTCTAGGAATACCTACATTGTTTATTCTGGACCCTATTTTGAAATTGGAATATTTTGAACTTTGTGTTAAATTGGCCAAATTACCAATTTCCGATCACTTTATTTTGTAGTTGAAAGAGCTGACATGGTGATTTCTTGTGCTCAGTCGATAGAATAGAAGTAATATTAGTGAAATAGCTAAGAATTTGGTCGACTGGAATAATGTAATTGACCTAAAATGGGAGTCAAAGTCGGCAAAATCGCCAATTCATAAATATCGCTGACACATCAAAATTCACAAGAGCATAATTTCGTCAATTTTCCATCAAATTTCATACTTTTTGTTTTATTACCTTCACAAAACGATTCTCTACCATTTCATAAGAAAAAATAAAAATATTTTTTTTTTAAATTCTTGGACACTGGGGCACCACTTCAGATTTTGGCCTTGGACCCTGAAGGGGTTAAGCTACCTTCTTGATTCTAATGCACTATGCATCACAGTGATGGGCTGGCCACCTTGGGATTGCAGAACAAACTTTCTCTGTTGGTTCAACACCTAAAACCTTGAAAACAATTGTTTTAATTAGAAGAATCCATAAAAAATATTTCAAGAACACTGAAATCAAAATCAAAATCTTTATTTCCTTGTAAAGATTACAATGTGTGGTTTACATGTTATAAAATATTAATTACAGAGAATGCCACTAGCATGCCTAGGCATTTTGGGCAGACTAATACTAATTCTTACTCTATATTGATATAGGTTATAGAGCAATATATTTGAACATACATTATTAAATACATACATAATTAGATACATACCTAATTAGGTACATACACAGTTAGGTTTAAAATAGTTAGGTAATACAAATCATATACATGTATTAATATTACAAATGGTAGATTTAGTGATGAGATTGGATTTGTCTTAGCATGATACACTGTTTCTGTTAAAGCTTATGTACCGGAAGAGTATCTTAGGCAAACTTAGGACTAACCTAAGATTTAATAGGCAATAGCTATATTTGGAATTTTATATTTGCAGTCATTTGGGTGGGTGTAAGTGTAAATTGGGGGGAATTACAGATAACGAGAGCAAGTTGTTTTGGAGTGTTCATGATACAAAAAGATAATTAGGTGGTTTTCATTTGGTTAGCTGATGACGGGGTTTGTTAGGGAGATGAGATGTTTTGAAAATGGTGGTTGAGTCTGCAGTTCTAGAGTTTTCAGGCAGGGAGTTCCAGATTTTAGGCCCTTTTATGTACATAGAATTTTTGTAGAGGTTTAGTTGGCCACGGGGAATGTCATGGAGATTTTTGTGTCTGGTATTGTGCCTGTGTCCTGTTGCAACTATCGAGAAAGTGTTTTAGCTCAGGGTTAATGTTAGAATTTATGGTTCTGTAAATGTAAGTTGCACAATAGTAGGTGTGAATGTTCTGTATGGTGAGTAGGTTTAGGTCCTTGAAGAGTGGGGGCGTGTGTTGCCTTGCATTAGATTGCTTGATAATTCTTACTGTGGCTTTCTATTGGGTTATTATTGGCTTTAAGTACATTGCTGCTGTTGATCCCCAGGCACAAATCGCATAAGTGAGGTAGGGATAGATGAATGAATAGTATAGTGTGAGTAGGGCTGATTGTGGTATATAGTAAGGTATCTTGGAGAGGATCCCAACTGTTTTCAATCCTTTTTTTGTTATTTGTTAGATATGGGTGTTGAATTTCAGGTTGCTGTCAGGGTGCAGGCCCAGGAATTTGCCCTCATTATGTTTAGCAACAAGAGTGTTGTCAATCATTATTTACAGCTAGGCAACACCTGTTCTGTTCCCGAACAGAATGTAGAAGGTTTTGTCAATATTAAGTGTAAGTTTATTAGCACTCATCCAGGTTGATATTTTTGCTAATTCTTCGTTAACAATAGTGTTGAGTGAGGCAAGATTAGGGTGGGAGATGACATAAGTTGTATCATCAGCAAAGAGAATAGGTTTAAGGTGTTGTGATACATTGGGAAGATCATTAATGTATAAGAGGAAGAGCAGGGAACCAAGGACACTTCTGTGTGGTACTCCAGTGTCCAGTGGTTTTATTGATGAGGTTGTGTCCTTAACCCTTTAAACTGTCCAAATGTAGATCTACGTTCACGTGCAAAGCACTCCAAATGTAGATCTACGTTTTTTTTTTTTTCATTTGAAAGCATATAAAATATAATGTAGATCTACGTTCAGAGCACTATGCATGTGAACATAGATCTATCTTTGGACAGTTTAAGGGTTAATGAGAAGTATTGCTGCCTGTTAGTAAGGTAAGATTTGAAATATGTAAGTGCGCAGCCTCTTATGCCATAATGATCAAGTCTGTGGAGTAGGATGCTGTGGTCTACTGTATCAAAAGCTTTCCTTAGGTTGATAAAGAATCCTAATGGATGTTTGTTTTTTCAAGTGCTGCGTAACGCAGGTATAGCATTTTTACAATTGCGTCGTTTGTGCTTTTGCTTTTCCTGAAGCCAAATTGGCAGGGGGTTGAGGATGCTTTGCACTGTTATGAAGGAATATAATCTCTTGTGTATAAGTTTCCTGAAGATTTTGGATAGTATCAGTAAGTTTGATATTGGCCTGTAATTGTTTGTCTGTGGGGTCACCACCTTTGTGTATTGGTGTGACCCTTGCTATCTTGAGCAGTGGAGGGAAAGTGCTGGTTTCTAGTGATTTGTTAAAGGGTAATGAAATAGCAGGTGAGAGAACATGAGCCACTCGTTTGTACAATAATGAAGGAACTGGAGCCAGATTTCCTGATTTATTTTTAAGTGACTGTAATTGTAGTGACTTATGTGGGCTCATTTGGTGCAAGATAGAAGGAGGCTGGGAAATTCCCATCTAAGTAATCGCTTGCTCAGGCATTGGTACTTGGGATTTTGCTGGCGAGATTTGAGCCTATGGTTGAAAAAGTCATTTATCTCGTTAACTGTATCAATAGGCTGTAGTTGGGCTTCATTCAGCTTAGTTAGGACAATATCCCTAGTTTTTTTTCAGTTTGTGTGTACTTAGAATTTGAGTGTCTTCCAGGTCTTTTTTTATATCTCCTCTTGTTTCAGTGAATCTATTGCGTATTGTTTAATAATATCTTTGTTTATTAACCCCTAAACGGTCCAAACGTATATATACGTTCTCTCCCCCAGTGCCCCAGATATTTTGAAAAATGAAAAAAATCATTTTTTTTTTCATTTAAATAAAGAGAAAAATTTTCTAAGTGTTATAGGATTAAAATAAAAAAAATTAAGGTCAATACTTACTGAGATATGAGGCTGCAAAGTTGGCGCTTAATGCTCACCTGACGGCAACATCGAGTCCTGCCGCTTGAGGTGGTGTTGCTGACATATCATTTTTTCTCATTTTTATATTATTTTATATAATTTTTATGTTCTGATAATGACAATTTATTGTAGTTCTTGGCATTTCATAATCAATTTTTGTTCTGACACTAATATTAGGTACTGAAATTATACTCAAATTGTCACAAACACTTTGACAGGTGGACATTTACACCTGCCTTGGTCATTTACTATTGTCTAGGAAAATATACAAGTATTTATAGGTCCCAGCAATGTTTTGGATACACGGGAGTATGGAAGAAGAAGAAGGAAGGAGGAGGAGTAAGAAGGAAGAAATATAATTTGTGTATACCTGTGAGATAGATAAAAAGAAATAGACAGAGACAGAGACAGATAGACAGTGACAGACAGAGATACAGACAGAGATAGACAGACTCTAAACATGAAGTTAACATCACTTTCCTCTTAAAAAGGGAGTGTTAATATGGCATTACATCAGTGAATCCTTGGCGTTTGCCACACTGTTTGCTCAAGCTGGCACTCAATTTAACTGGCGCTCCCACAAGGTACTAAGTGATCCCAGATTTTTTTTAAAATGGTGCACACTGAGTGTTAAGACCCATTCTATGCTGACCAGGCATCTCAGGCCAATTGTGCCAAATTTGGAGGCAGGAAAATTAAAACATATACGTATGTACGTTTGGGGCGCTAGCAGTAAGAACATATATATATGCTTGGACTGTTTAGGGGTTAAGCCCTGTCTATATTGCTTTTCATATTGATGTTTCTTATCAATGGATCTTAGTATGCTGTTAGCCATGGGCAACCTAGCCGTTTATTCATAATGTGTTTCGTTTTTATGGGACAGTGTTATATAGTCTAAGTAGTTTGTTAAGAAATATGTCTATCCAGTCATTGATACCATTAGCCTCGGAGAATTCTGTAGGCCAGTCAATCGTACCAAGCTCTGTTGTGAAGTTATTTATTGAAGCCTCGTCATGGAGTCTAAAAGAGACCTTGTTGTATTCCAGTGGTTATTTACTAATGTTTATAAAGAGGAAGGTGGGATAGTGGTCAGTAGTGCTGTCTGTGATTATCCCTGATTTGAGGGGAGCTAGTATATTAGTCCATATATGATAATTTATGGTTGCACTTGTCTCAGTTAGCCTGGTTGGTTTTGTTATAGCTGATATGAGTAGTGTGTTGCTCATATTGTTGATAAAACCAGTTACTGGCTGGTCATCTATTAGGCCAAGGTTAATGTTGAAGACTCCAGCTAGGAGAAGGTGGTGTTTGTTCATTTGGTTGTTTGTGATTAGTGTCTTTAATTTACTGCTAAAATTTGGGATGTTTATACGAGGCATTCAGTAAATAACACCGACTGTTATAGGAGTCTTTAAGATTTTTTACAGTAAAATTTGCAAAAATGTATTCTCCATATTCTTTACTATAGCAAGTGGTGTTACAACATGATAGTTCATTAGAGTAATATGTAGATGGTAATACCACCCCCAACTTTGTATGGTCTGCAGTTGTGGATTGCTGTGTATCCTGGCAATGAGTATATATCTACGTATTGTGTCCTGTTTAACCCTTTGACTATCGCAAGCCCCTTTCTGAAACTGTCATTCTGTGTCACAAAATTTTTGGGAAAAAAAATTATTTTTTCTTATGAAATGATAGAGAATCTTTTCCCGATGGTAATGACACCAAAAGTACAAAATTTGGTCGAAAACTCACGGAATTATGCTCCCGTGAAGTTAGCGGTCTCGGCGACATACATGCATCGGTGAGTTTGCTGACTTTGAGCCCTGTTTTTGGCCAATTCTGTTGTTAAAGTTGACCAAACTCATAGCTATTTCTAAAGAACTCCATTTTTCCTATCAGTTGAGTACAAGAAACTGCCCATTTACCGAACTGAACTACCCAATAAAATGGTCAGAAATTGGCAATTTGGCCAATTTCATGCAAATTAAAAAGGATGCCAATTTCAAAATAGGGTCCAGAATAAACAGTGTAGACATTCTTGGCACTGAAATAACTTTGCAATCACCACTAGCATTGGCACACATCAACAGAGTAAGCCTGTCTTTCATAGGCTTATGTCCTGGGAGTGCCTTTTCCTCCTGAGTAATGTAAGTCCTGCATGGCAATTTCTTCCAAAACAGGCCTGTTTCGTCACAATTAAACACTTGTTCAGGTTTCAGTCCTTCAGTCTCTATGTACTCCTTGAATTCATGCACATATTTTTCAGCTGCTTTTTGGTCTGAACTGGCAGCCTCACCATGCCTAATCACACAATGTATGCCACTACGATTCTTAAATCTTTCAAACCAACCTTTGTTGGCCTTAAATTCACTCACATCACCACTAGTTGCAGGCATTTTTCTAATTAAATCCTCATGCAACTGCCTAGCCTTTTCACAAATGATCGCTTGAGAGATGCTATCTCCTGCTATCTGTTTTTCATTTATCCACACCAATAACAGTCTCTCAACATTTTCTAACACTTGCGATCGCTGTTTTGTAATCACAGTTGCACCTTTTGCAAGAACAGCTTCCTTGATTGCCGTTTTCCTGCTCACTTTAGTAGAGATGGTTGATTGGGATTTACTATACAACTTGGCCAGGTCCGACACACGCACTCCACTTTCATATTTTGCAATTATCTCTTTCTTCATTTCAATAGTCATTAGCACCCTTGGTCTCAATGGGTTGGCACTAGAAGCTTTCTTGGGGCCCATGGTGACTTATTTTGCAGAAACAAGCACCAAAAACAGTGATAATATGGATAATATGGAATGTACCGAATGTATCCTTAGATGTGCACACACTGGCCGGCTTGTAAACACTGGCACACACGGGGCAGTTCAGGCGACACGTGGACACGTCTCGTATGAATCGTATCGTGTACTGGGTTTTGTAACGGGAACTGAGGCAATTTTTTTGAGATATAATGCTTTGGATACCGGATTTATCGGTTACCGATGACTTTGCGAACCGGGGGTCCACTGTATTAGAATTTAAGGAACACATATTGTGGCAGTATATAACAGTTACAGAGTGGTTCATAACACTATTCGTGGATGGTGGGTATAAACTGCACCTTATTCTGAGTCAGTTAAACCAGCTTCACTAAGGAATTTTTTTAGTTCGTATTCGGTAAAGATGAAGTACCTTTTCCCATTGGATTCTTTTCTAACTGCGATTTTACCATCCCTCACAGAGCACTGATGGAATTTTTGGTTGTGGCGTAATTTTCTTAGTCGATAAAGGAGGTTCTGCCTTGTTTTGGTAAGGCACTCATTAACATATATCCTTCAGAGTGGAACAAATGATTTTAATAATAATTACCAGCCCACACTGTACGAATTTTCAAAAACTTAATAAATCTGATTTTATTCATTCATAGGTTTGGTTGTATGAAGGCTGCAGGCTTTTCCGTGACAAGTTAGCCGAGAGTGCAGATGTGCAGAAGTTTGATGCAATAATTGTGTCCAGTATACAGTCAGACTGGGGCATGGATCTTCGTGATCACTTGGTTAACAAGTACTTTGTCACTCCTGCAGTTGGTGTTGTATGTATCATGTGCTATACCTACTGTCATACTGTACTTATTTTCTGATCTTTTGATTATCCCTTAATTTCTGTTCATTTTCCTAATTATCAAACTGACATTCTTTTTTACCCATTATTTTCTCAGTTTGCTGTCTATATTATTCATCTTTGATTTTTAATCTTTCTGTGTATCCACCCATCTCATTTTTCAGGCAGTCTTTCTACTTGTATCAATATACAGTATTTGTGTTTTTGTTTCTTTCCAATTGTTCATATTAACATTTTTGCACAGAGTTTTGCATGCACACTACCATTATTTACCAATTTTCCATGGATTGGGTGGATTTTAGGGATATTTTAGTTGCATTAAAGGGTAAAACTGCACTCAGAGTGCAATTAAGACATTACTGATCTAGCAATTGTGAGGTAAATAAAAAAAATGACCTGAGCCTAAGAAAATAAAATACGTATGAGATAAACTAAAGGAATGCCTGATGATGAGTGTGTTTACATAGAAAGGGAGAAGGATGAGAGAGAGAAAGAGACATTTTTTTTTTTTTTTTTAATTTATTTCATAAAATTATTTGTCCAGAAATTAAGGAGTACAGTGTATTGGGATAATTTTCTCAATGTTGTGTAACATCAGGTGGCACCTGGAGCACCTCTGCCTCTGCACGGCTACCAGCTTGGCCAAATGAGCCCAGAGAATTGGAGTGAAGTGGTGGGGAATGCTGTACAACAGTACAGCAGGGAGAAACAAGAGCTTAATTTGTTAATCTTCACAGAGGTATTGTGTTGTGTATATCAATTATATAATTATAAAGAGTGAGAGTCAGTACATGCTATATCATTGCTGGAATAGTTTGCACATAAATCAAACTTCATAGAGAAAGTCTTAGATTGCTTTGGTCCATCCTGGACCATTATGAAGATTACTTGTAAATGGTCCAGGATGGACTGAAATGTTGTCTAAAGTTTCTTCTCTGAATTGCAGGTTAGTTGTGAATTTTGAATATTATATTCCATTAGATTTGAGTAGAACCTACTGTAATTTGAAATATTACTTACTTTTTTTTTCAACAAGTCGGCCATCTCCCACCGAGGCAGGGTGACCCAAAAAAGAAAGAAAATCCCCAAAAAGAAAATACTTTCATCATCGTTCAACACTTTCACCTCACTCACACATAATCACTGTTTTTGCAGAGGTGCTCAGAATACAACAGTTTAGAAGCATATACATATAAAGATACACAACACATCTCTCCAAACTGCCAATTTCCCAACCCCTCCTTCAAAGTGCAGGCATTGTACTTCCCATTTCCAGTACTCAAGTCCGGCTATATAAAAATAACCGGTTTCCCTGAATCCCTTCACTAAATATTACCCTGCTCACACTCCAACAACTTGTCAGGTCCAAAATACTATTTGTCTCCATTCACTCCTATCTAACACGATCACGCATGCTTTCTGGAAGTCCAAGCCCCTCGCCCACAAAACCTCCTTTACCCCCTCCCTCCAACCTTTTTGAGAACAACCCCTACCCCGCCTTCCTTCGCTACAGATTTATATGCTCTCCATGTCATTCTACTTTGATCTATTCTCTCTAAATGACCAAACCACCTCAACAACCCCTCTTCAGCCCTCTGACTAATACTTTTATTAACTCCACACCTCCTAATTTCCACACTCCGAATTTTCTGCATAATATATATGCACCACACATTGCCCTTAAACAGGACATCACCGCCTCTAACTGCCTCCTCGTTGCAGCATTTAGAACCCAAGCTTCACACCCATATAAATAAGAATGTTGCTATCACTATACTTTCATACATTCCCTTCTTTGTCTCCATAGATAATTTTTTTGTCTCTACATATACCTCAACACACCACTCACATTTTTTCCTTCATCAATTCTGTGGTAAACCTCATTCTTCATAAATCCATCCACTGACACGTCAACTCCCAAATATCTGAAAACATTCACTTCTTCCATACTCCTCCTCTCCAATTTGATATCCAGTTTTTCTTTATCTAAATCTTTTGATACCCTCATCACCTTACTCTTTTCTATGTTCACTTTCAACTTTCTACCTTTACACCTTTACTTATATTCAAAGAAAAAACTTAACAGCTTAACACAAGAAGCTTGCATGATTTCATAAAAAGAGTGCCAGTAATTGTATATTACTATTATTGGAAGCATTATTCTGCAAAAAATGAACCTAATGCTGCAAAAGAAAGATATGCCATTACAGTATTTTCTAGCAATTAAAATAACAAACTTACACATTCAACCAAAAGACTACCGCACTAGCAACTACCCAAATACTCTTATTTTTAGCCCCACAAATCCTACTGAAATCTCGCTTATTATCATATCACTAAAGAACAAGGCAAGTGACCTAAATAACTTACCACTTCTCATGCGCTGTCACCAATTATTGCCACTCTGTTAACAAATCCATTGAATCTTCCACCTTCCCATCCATACTCAAGACAGCAAGGGTCACCCCGATCCTCAAAGGAGGTGATCCAATTGAGTTGAACAACTATAGGCCTATATCAAACTTGCCCCTACTATCTAAAATCTTCGAAAATTAATTCAGGAACAAGTCTACTCCTACTTAGTATCCCACAACATACTTATCCCCTGTCATTTTGGATTCAGACTTAAAAAAATACTAATGTTGCAATTATCCATATGCTTGAGCCAATATATTCGGCACTCGAAAAAAATGAATTTTCCCTGGGACTTTTCATCGACTTAAGAAAAGCTTTTGATACAGTTGACCATGACCTATTGCACCAAAAACCTGAACATTATGGGGTCAGAGGACACTCTCGATTACCTAAAATCTTATCTTAGCAATAGAACCCAGTATGTATACACAAGTGGAGCTAACTCCACTACACAACCAGTTCTTGTTGGAGTCCCACAGGGCAGTGTCCTTGGCCCACTTCTCATTCTCATTTACATCAATGACCTCCCAAACACTTCTAAACTCCTTAAACGCATTTTATTTGCAGATGACACTTCTTATGTCTACTCTCACCCAAACCCAACCATACTAACAGACACTGTAAATGCCGAACTCTTAATAATATGTACTTGGATAGCCACCAACAAACTTACTTTCAATATAGACAAACCTATTTTATGTTATTTGGAAACAGAGCTACAAATGTACAGCTAAACATACTGATAAATGGTTGACCCATTTCTAGACACACACAGGGCAAATTTCTTGGTCTTCACCTAGACTGCAAACTCAGATTCCAAACTCACGTACAGCAAATATCCAAGAAAGTCTCCAAAACAGTAGGCATCCTCTCAGAGATACTGCACTATGTACCCTGATCAGCTCTTCTTGCACTATACCACTCTCATCTACCCTTACCTCACCTATGGTATTTATGCATAGGGCTCAACCACAGAAAATCACCTTAAACCTTTAATAACCCAGCAAAAAACTGCAGTGCAATTGATTACAAACTCTTGTAATAACAGCATACTCCTCCGCTTTTCAAGAGTCTTAACTTACTTAATATACAAAACATCCACACTTATCATTGTGCCTACTACATACACAGAACATTACACTGAAATATAAACCCTCCTCTCAAACTCCTACATGATAATTACAACAGAACACACAACCATAATAAAAGACACAAATCACTCTTTGATATCCCTCGTGTCCATCTCTCCCTCTGCAAAAATGCTATGCATGTAAAGGGCCCAAATATCTGGAATTCGTTACCAGGGTACAAAAAGATACAAAACATCCAGGCCATGGGAAAACCTGGGTAGCCACAGCCACTCAAGAGGGAGAGGTTTTTTAGTGCCAGGAAGGAAAAAAAACTGACAGGAAATGGCAGAAATCGTACACCAAATCCAGTCATTCCTGGAGTGGGACCACAGTCGATGGCCTCCACTCCAAACCAACAGATACAGATACTAATGCCGGAGAAAAAATCCCCCCCCAGTACCAACAATACCACCAGTCCGATGACATTCTTCTTTGCAAATATACAGGGTCTAAAGCCAGCAACAAACAACAAAATACGCCTTTCATCCGTGGACTGCTTGCAGAGGCAAAGGCAATGTTCGCGGCTTTCACTGAGACCCACATAAAGGATCACTTGGACAACGAAATATGGATCACAGGTTACAACCTATACAGATGTGACAGAGTGAATAGGCAAAAGGGGGGGGGGGTTGGCCTGTACATTGCAGAGTCACTTGTTTGCACAAAACTGCTAAATGCCTCAAATGATGTAGTGAAAGTTTTAGCAGTAAAGGTCGAGAACCAAAACCTAGTCATTGTGGTAGTCTACAAGCCTCCGGATGCAACATCCCAGCAATTCCAGGAACAGCTGTTAAAAATTGACCACTGTCTGGAAAATCTTCCATCTCCTGCACCCAACATCTTGCTCCTGGGGGATTTCAACTTAAGGCACCTAAAATGGAGGAATATAGCAAATAATATTGTTGCAGTAATAACACCAGGAGGCAGCTCTGATGAAAACTCACACTCACACGAGCTTTTAAATCTCTGCACAAAATTCAATTTAAACCAGCAAATAATAGAGCCTACTAGACTGGAGAATACACTAGACCTCATCTTCACTAACAATGATGATCTGATAAGAAATGTCACCATATCAAAAACAATATAGTACTCAGATCACAACATAATTGAGGTTCAGACATGTATGCGTGGACCCCCAGACCGACATAATGAGACTAGTCACGAGGGAGCATTCACCAAATTCAACTTCAATACAAAAACATAAAGTGGGACCAAGTAAACCAAGTCCTAACCGATATAAGCTGGGAAGATATACTAAGCAACACAGACCCCAACATATGCCTAGAACAGATTAACTGGGTGGCACTCGATGTAAGCACAAGGCTTATTCCTCTAAGAAAAAGGAGGAGTAGATGTAAAATAGAAAGAGACAGGCGCTCCCTTTACAGGCGACGGAAAAGAATAACAGAGCGGCTGAAAGAGGTCAATATATCTGAAATGCGTAGGGAGACACTGGTCAGAGAAATAGCAAGCATCGAACTCAAGCTAAAAGAATCTTATAGGAGTCAGGAATCGCGGGAAGAACTAAAAGCCATAAATGAAATCGAAAGAAACACGAAGTATTTCTTCTCCTATGCCAAATCAAAGTCGAGAACAACATCCAGTATTGGGCCTCTACTTAAACAAGATGGGTCCTACACAGATGACAGCAAGGAAATGAGTGAGCTATTCAAGTCCCAATATGACTCAGTTTTTAGCAAGCCGCTAACCAGACTGAGAGTCGAAGATCAAAATTAATTTTTTATGAGAGAGCCACAAAATTTGGTTAACACAAGCCTATCCGATGTTATCCTGACGCCAAATGACTTCGAACAGGCGATAAATGACATGCCCATGCACTCTGCCCCAGGGCCAGACTCATGGAACTCCGTGTTCATCAAGAACTGCAAGAAGCCCCTATCATGAGCCTTTTCCATCCTATGGAGAGGGAGCATGGACACGGGGGTCGTCCCACAGTTACTAAAAACAACAGACATAGCCCCACTCCACAAAGGGGGCAGTAAAGCAACAGCAAAGAACTACAGACCGATAGCACTAACATCCCATATCATAAAAATCTTTGAAAGGGTCCTAAGAAGCAAGATCACCACCCATCTAGAAACCCATCAGTTACACAACCCAGGGCAACATGGGTTTAGAACAGGTCGCTCCTGTCTGTCTCAACTATTGGATCACTACGACAAGGTCCTAA